TTTTTAGCAACATCATATGACCCCTTTAAAACAATCAAAAAAAAAAAAATTTTTGATGTACAGAGTCACATTATACATGTTAATGTGGGAGATACAATGACACATAGTTACTTTTGTTTCTTAACTTTCACTTTGGTTTAAGTTAACGATATAACTTAGCATTTTTCTTTAACGCATATAATGCGTTTAATATTTCAGGACAAATTTGTTTGAGATCAGACGGATTCAAAAGGCAGTAACTGGCGTAGGCAAAAGCTTACAGTTGTCACCTGTCAGTTGTATTATTATCATTACACCAAACCTAGGAGCGCGGCTGTAAACGTCCGTGCGTGCGCGCACTAGTTTTAAACTGTCTGTCTCCCCCCAGCCGGCCTCCCCCTTTCTTCAATGAAAACTGAGATTGGGGGGTGGAAAAGACCATGAAAGGACAGAGCTGGACAGAGACACTTTTAAGGGCTGTTTGTTAGGGGTAGTATTTGTGGCTTGTCCCCCGACTTTTTATTTTAAGAATGCTAAGGACTTTCTCCCAGGAGAGATACAGCGCTTTAACAACGTCCAACTGGTCTCGCTAGCGCCCGTGCTCTCACTGAGATTGAGCGCGAGCTAACAGAAGTTAGCTGGACGGCTATCGGCGGCGGGTGAGGGGGACAATACAGAGAGGCGAGAGGGGTCGACAGAGAGCGCCGTCATCCAACCTAGTAGCATGTCGCCCTCGGGAAGAAGTAACTCAAGCTTTGGATGAGGTTCCGTGGCGCAGTTCGATCGCAGAGACTTTTTGACGTGACGGTGGGTTGGGATGTTTCTGTCAGCGCGGGGCTCCGGTGGAGGCGCGGCGTCGGCGGTGTCCCGGGGTTGGCCGCGTACGGTACTGTGGAGACTGGGGGGTTTCTTTCTCCTCCTGCTTCTCGAAGGGGCCCGATGCCTCGCCAACCCGAGCAACGCGCCGGGCATAAACAATAACAATAGGCCGAATATGAACGTCTTCATGAGCGAAGAAGAGGTCAAGAAACTCTTGGGTGCGTATACTTTATTTCCCCGTCTGCTCAACTATGTTCCTGCCCTATCCAAAGTTTTGCTTAGAACCAGAAATTTTTGCCACTCTGTCAGATTAGCTGTATTTGCTTCTAACTAACCACTAAAAGCTATCTCGTGTGTCTGTTTGGTGTCCAGAAGTACACAAGTTGTTTTAAACATGCTCACAAACTGCTGAAACTTTGTTGGTTAGCTCTCCATATGTTAGCTTTGATAGGCCAAACAATCCGCAGCGTCCTTGTAACCTCTCTAAATAGACAGCTTCTGCTTAAGAAAAGCGTTAATATATGTACAGAAATGTTACAAAATGCACATGTGAAAGTATTTTTATGAGGTTATACTTCAGCAAGCTATTTAAGAAAAATAAAAAGTGATTGGGTTTGTCATTAGATCGAAACTGGTTGCTAGAAAGTTTTCCAAGTGTATTCCAAAGCTTTACATGCTTGTGATATAGGAACCATAATTATGTGGTGATTTGTAAGGTCTATATCACACACATGCACAAGATACAGAGCAGAGGTGTATGAGCTGATCTGAGTCATTCATTGGCATTGGTGTGTGTCAGAATTAGTTAAAACAAAAGTCGCACAATGGATTTTTCTTTCTGCTTTGTGTCAGGCCTGTCAGTAAACACTGAAAATGCAAATGCAAGGCACATTTAACTCTGGAAAGCATTTTGGTGCTGATATTTATATAGCCAAAAAGCAATTAATCAAATTCTTTAAGCTTGTAACCAGAATCAGAGATCTTTTTATAACAGTATAACAGACTAACTTGCATAAAATGCATTGTTGTCACTACCTCCCAATAATATGTCAAATTTTTGTAGTTTTAATTTTGGGGATTAAAACATATAATGCAATGCAATACAATGTTGATTGAGAGATGTACAAATAACTTTCCTTAAAAGCCTGTTGATGCTCATATTTTTACATTATTTTTTTTCTTATGTGATATAGGCTTTAGGGTTAAGTGTAAAATGTGAGAGAGTGCATTTTCATACATTTCTCATACTCTTGTAATCCTAATGAAAAACTATATGTATATTTATGCAGTTAATTAACAACATATGATTGTTTATGTGTTTGTTTATGACTTAATGGCTCTGCCTAAAATGTAAATTTTTGCAGAATATAGTCCTCTTTCCAGACTAGGGGCCAAACCAAGTGTTTTGTACTCTGAATAATTTAATGCATTCATGGTTCTTGAAGAAAAAAGGCTTTGTGATGCATTTGCTATGTTTGTATTCAGAGTGGGTTTTTGATTCAGCACCACTGTGATTAATGCAGTGAGAACTGATTAGTGGTTGTTAATTGCTGGGTATTTGTGACTGGGCCTATAAGCAGTCATTATCATTGCTAATGTCACAGCATAGTTAATGCAAGGTTTGGGGGCTGGAGCATCAATTTCCTGCTGGAAAGAGGAAGCGGAGACAAGGGCATTTTAGAGCAGCCTTGTTTGAACTTGTTTTGAGGGTTTACCCTTTCAGCTTAAATTGATAGCAATTTCTATTAGACTAAAAATAAAACAAATTATATGTGGCATTTATGTAATGTGATGCAAATACTGTAGCATTTAGCTTGAAAGCTTGAACTTTGAATGTTGCCATATGGAGTATAAGGTTTCAAGTGATGCAGTACTTAAACTTTTTACATTTGAATGCTTTGAATTTTGTAAAGGATGTAACCTAACCAGATGTTCAAGACGTGTCTGTGGTGGTTATGGTCAGTGTTTGAGCAGTGTTGGTATATCAGTGGCTAATGCTGATATCTAGAAAGAGAACTTAAACTTATTGTACATAATATTTTTTTTCAATTCACCAAAGGTAGTTAAAATGGAAAGGGTTCTCTGAATGTTGGTAACAAGAATCCAAGACGCTGAGCAGGCTTATTTTAGCTTTTTTGGTTTGAAAGATGAGGTTTGAAAGATGATTTTCCCCTGGTCTTATACCTCTGTTATCCTCTGTAAAGCTGACCTGCATATATATATATATATATATTTTTTTTTTTTGTCACGACTGGCTTTGGGAACAGAGCTTATAACTATGAGTGCCTCTTTCTGGGTGCTCTGCATTTCTGTGTCTCCTCAGTGATGATTGATTAATTTTATGGTGAGCTTTTACACTCTTTGATGATCATATCAGGTTATTATAATCAACATGTCGCCTGTAGTTTAATGCGGAGTGCTCTGGCATTTGTCTTGTGATGGAGGCTGGAATGGAGCTTTTTAAAAAAAATTTGGGGGAAAGTGGAAACTGCTGTTTAAAAAAAAAAAAAAAACTTCTCATAATGTAATTTGCCCCTTCGCTCTTCTGCTGCTGTGTCCCTTTTTTTTGTGCATTCTGGGAACCTACTCGGACTGCTTTCATTTTGAACCTGAAGGTTTTATATCAAATAATGATCTGTAGCATAAGCTTCACCTAAGATTCATGAATAATCACTGTGTCTTTCTCTGTTAACATGAATTTGTTGCTCTCTGTTCTGGTTCAGCAATGGGTGTCATTTTGGAATCAAAACCACCTTGTTAGACTGAGGGCCATTGTAAGCAGTGGGGTTGCAAGTAGAAGTCCCTAAATGCATTTATCAACAGGACATCAGTAGCCTGTAGTTTTGCACTGCCAGTGCCTCAGAGAATCAGGTGTCCACTGTTCTGCACAGGAGTCTGATTACCATTGATGTGGTTCAGAGATCCTGTTCTATGACTCACAGGAAACCTTGACTTAAAAGTTTATGGTTGTGGT